GATCTGTATATGATTATTGCAAAAGGTCAGAGGTGTAAGTTACGAATTACATTTACTCTTGTTACTGTAATTGAGTACAGTTTTCTCTGTAACGATACTTTTTTGAGTAGAATTAAACTATAGTACTTTTACTCTTACTTGAGTTAATTTTTAATGAAATAATTTTACTTCGCTACTTTAATTTTCATAACGTTACAGAGTAAATATAAATGATGAGCCTAACAGCTCAGAAACCAATACGAATGACGCGCAGTTAATTTTAAAAAATTCACCATCAAAAAACAGCAGCTCCGACAGAAAAAACACCACAGAGAGGTCCAATTTAGTGAAGAAGGACAGAGGAGGATTTAACCAGCACACACGAGGAACAGACCGCATCCAAACGGTCATCTGTATTCATTTTCACATGAACTAAAGAAAATGGCGTTATTATCAGCGGCCAAACACGAAAACTGCTGAGATCCGCTCTCACAACTCGACTCAACTGAGGCAGCATTAGCCGAGCTAGCTGATCCGAACTGAACCGTGTTTACGGTTTTCTTCTTTCTTTTTTAATGCTTCTATTTATTAAACTTGAAATCTGCTGTGTATATTTTATTAAGTGTCTGTGATCCATTTAGTTAACAGGTGTTGCCCACAGGCTGCAGTTTATCGTTTAAAATACAGCCTAGTTTAGCTGCTGTTTTGGAGATCATCGTTTACAGCTGTGATAGAAAATCTTGTCTAATACCAGCTCTTCATAAACTCTGGAATGTGATTCTGTCCCGCCGCCGAGTGGCCTGATCTGATCCCGCCCCACTTCCCCACCCTCTCTCTGTCTTTCTCTCTCTCTTCTTCTTCTTCTTCTTCTCTCTCTCTCTCTTTCTCTCTCTCTTTGTCTCTCTCTTTGTCTCTCTCTCACTCTCTCCCTTCTCTCTCTGCGTTTGTGTTTGTCTTTAACTGTGAGAGGCTGTGTAGCTGTTTAACTGTGAAATGCAGTAATAATGTCTGGTTCTGTATGAAGTGATCAGCATGATTACTAGTGAAATGTATTACAGTAAAAATCAAAGCTGGGTAAGTTGCTAATGTTGCTACTGATTTTAATGGTGTAAATGTTCTGAACAGATATCAGTGAAAATATACAGTTTGAAGGCTGTGAATGTGTTTACTCTCTGTAGAGGTTCACACCTATTAACGTAAGCTAGGGAGTCCAGGGAGCTGATGAGCAGCAGGACTCTCACTAAAATTATTAATTTAGCAATCTACTCATAACTCTGACTCAGTTTTTTCTCTTAAATGAACTTCATTAAACAGTTACTACCTCTGCACAGTCTTTCAGGGATTCTAAAATACTTTATTAGAAACAGATAAACTAGGATGTCTTATATAATCATCTAACCATGAAATGCATGCAGTGTAACGTAAACCATGTTCCTTACACAGCTCACAGAAAACTGTGTTAATATTCAGTAGCAGAGCGAACTGTGATCAGTCTCAGCTCTCAGAACTTTAGCTTTAGTGTTTTTCTGTACAGATTATTTCCAGTGATGTAGCTGAGTCAGCTCAGAAATATGTTCGGGTTGTGACAGTGGAAATACAAAAAAGTAACTAAGTACTTAAGTAGGTTTTCAACGAACTACTTATTTACTCTTACTTGAGTTATTTTATTTACTAATACTTTTACTTGTACTTGAGTAAATTATCACTACAGTAACAGTACTTGTACTTGAGTAGGGATTTTCAGTACTCTTTACACACACGTAGTGATTTTCATAAGTGGCGCCTCATCCTGGATAATCATTTGTTTTCCTTTCCTGGATAAACATTCGCTATCCTCCAGTCAATGATTTCTGACATCATCAGCCTGCACCTTTGCTGTTTTTCAAATTCTGACCAGTGCCTCCTGCTTGTGCAGAGCAACAGGTAACTCCACAAATACATTGTCTATGAGCTTTTTCTATACTGAAATGTAATAGGGTAAAACAAATGGGTTAGAAATTGAGTCTCTCATACAGGCTAGTCAGTTATCTTACCATGTAGCACTGCTAAGTAGCTATCTGGCTAATTAGGTTGTGTTTAGCAAACAGTAAAACTAAGAAAAGTGTGATTTTTTAAAGGATATGTTTGACAACATTCACAAATACCAAAAAGATCAACTTATGAGCTACCTAAAGCTTATCTAGTTAGCATGCTAGCAAACTTAGTAGTACTTTTCACAGCATGATGAGCAGCTTGTCATGGGTAGCCAATAGCTGCTGATCCTGGATAGTCAACTGGATATTGTTCATGACTGTATTTCTTCTGGAACCTGCATGAAATCCTTTTTAATCCTTTTAGTGTTAATCTGACATTTAGATCTAGCAAATTAATCCTGCTATTGACCGACAGCCAGTTAATCCTACTACTGACTGTATTGATCATGGATAGTTAGTTAATCCAGTTAATGACTGTAATGATCCTGGATAGTCAGTTAATCTAGTTCATGACTGTATTAATCTTGGGTAGTCATTTAATCTTATGACAGACTGCATTGATCCTGGATACTAAGTAAATCCAGTACCTGACTGCACTGATTCTGGATAATCACTTAATCCACTTCATGACTTTATTGGTCCTGTATAGTTAATCCAGTTAATGACTCTATTGATCCTTGACAGTCAGTTAATCTAGTTCATGACTGTATTAATCTTGGATAGCCAGTTAATTGTATTATAGACTGCATTGATTCTGGAACATCAGTAAATCCAGTATCTGACTGTACTGATAATGGATAGTCAATTAATCTAGTTCATGACTGTATTGATCTTGGATGGCCTATTAATCCACTTACTGACTGCATTGATCCTGGGTGATCACTTAATCCAGTTCTTGACTTTATTGATCCTAGATAGTCAGTTTATCCAGTTCATGACTGTGTTGATCCCTGGATAGTTAGTTAATCCAGTTCATGACTGTATTGATCCTGCATAGCCTATTATTCTATTATTGACTGAATTGATCCCAGAGAGTCAAGTGATCCTGTTCATGAATCTAATGATCCCAGACAGTCAGTTACCCTAGTTATTGATTGTATTGATCCTGGATAATCAATCAATCCAGTTTCTGACTAAACCATTCCTGGATAGTCAGTTAATCCAGTTCATGACTGTATTGATCCTAGATAGATAGTTAGACATATTATAGGCTGTATTGATCTTGGATAACTAGTTAATGGAGTTCATGACCTAATTGATCCTGGGTAGCCAGTTAATCCAGTTTATAACTGTAGTGATCCTGGTCAGATAGTTAGACATACTATTGTCTGTACTGATCTTGGATAACTAGTTAATCCAGTTTATGACTATATTGATCCTGGATAGTCAGTTAATCCAGTTTATGACTGTATTGATCCTGGATAGTCAGTTAATCCAGTTTATGACTGTATTGATCCTGGATAGAGAGTTAACCCCATTTATGAGTGTACTGATTCTTGATAGTCAATAAATGTAGTTCATAACTATTGATTAGCCAATTGGTTAGCCAATTAATCCATTTCATAACTTTATTGATCCTGGATGTTCAGTTAATCTAGTTCATGTCTGTATCACTCCTGGCTAGTCTATTAATTCAGTTCATGAATGTTCAAGACACCTATTTGTTTTGACCATTATGTAAGCATTGCCTATAAAATTCCAGAAGATGTGTTCACTGGTTTGAATTGTAAATAATATGACTATATTCTACCTTGTAGACTCCTGGTTCCTGTCACCACAGCTGTAAAGAAAGAGTCTGTAAGTTTCTATACAATGAACAATATTACATCAAACCACTCTGAATCCACTAAAATATGCATTTTAAGTGAGTCAGATTTCTCTGTTATAAACTTAGTCTGTTAATTATTATTTTTAATTTTACAAAGACATTTGCCAGTGCATGGTTCGTCACCATTATTCTGTGTAGTGATTTGTTTTTAATATTAATCATTCAATATTATCAAGTTGTAATTCCATTAATCATTTGTTATTATAAATTGTAATTCCATGTGTGCTTCTTATATTGAATCATTAATTTAAAGATTTTTGATTTTAAAATAATTTTTTCAGTTGATCAAGTGATTACTGAGTGGAATGAATGGTGACATTGATTCAGCTGAATGACATTGATTTAGTATCATAACGAAACAATGAGTTGAAACAATGAGTTGTGTAAGAGCAGAAAAAATGCAAAACTATGCAGAGCTCTGGCCCTCCAGGATCTGACTTTGAGATTATGGTTAATGATAATATGTGATAATATGTGAAATGCTAATAAAAACAGAAAGCAGTGATTTGTAAATTATGTTTGACCTGTGTTAAATAAAAATGGTACAAAAACAGTGTTGTATGTTGTACCTGATAAACTTAATTGTTTTTTGTAAATAAATGCTCATTTCAAATGTGATGCCTTCAATACATTCCAAAAAAGTTGTGACAGGAGCATGTTTATCACTGTGTTAAATCACCTTTCCTTTTAACAACACTTAATCATTTGGGGACTGAAGACACAAATTGTTCCAGTTGTGAAAGTGTAATTTTTTGACAATCTTCTGTTTTACGAGTCTTCAGCTGTGCAACTGTACAGGGTTGTTATTGTCATATTTTGAGCTTAATATTGCGACATATTTCCCATAGTTACTGAATAATTTATATGAGTTACTGAGTCACTCATATTAGTTACTGTAACATTCATAGTATTTACTAAACAAATCATAATAGATACTGAATGATTCTTGGCAGTTACTGAGTTATTCAGAGTAGTCACAAAATAATTCATAACAGTCACTGAATAATTTATTGCATTTACTGAATGATTCATAATAGGTTCTGAATTCAAGTGGCTACTGAAAAATTCATACTATAATGCAAAGGTTTGAGTACAGTAAACTCAGCAAATAAATAGAAATGAAGCGGAAACTTGCAGAAAAAATTACCCTATATTTTTGTTCCCTGTAGAAGATGTTTTATTATGTCTTATTTTCACTTAGAAAATCAACAAAACCTCATCTGAACAGGAGTATTCCAACTTTTGCACATGCCTGAATCATGTTATCATGTACATAATATGCATTGCAATGTCAAATATTAATTATAACAGTGTGTCCATTAAAGTGCACCTATGAACATGCAAAATACACTGGATTATGTTTTATTGCTCTTAGTTAGCATAAGGATTAAAAATACATCACACAGATATCTTACACTGTGATCTCTTACTATACTGTCAGTGCCTAAAGCATATAGCTGAATAAATATATTGAATATTCTTTGATAATTTCAGGTCATTCATAGTTGACAGAGATATATGTGAAATCAATGTTCTCCTTTGTTGGCACCATGTTCTTCAGGTATGTTTAATTTTATGAGATACACACATAAAAGTTTTTCACAGCATGTGTAGATCTGATTATTGTAGTATTTTATAAAAAGAAATGTTAACATAGCTTTCTCCTTTACAAGTACGTTGGCTGATGAAGTCCGATTCAGGAGTCAGTGGACCCTTCAGTGCACGCTCTAGAAAAGCAACAATAGAGTTCTTCAGAAGAATATAAGCCTACTTTACACATTTCTCCATTTTTTTACTTTTTAAATTTTTTTTTAACAAATTCAAAAAAGACAAACAAAAAATTATATACCTCATTTGAGCATCCATGTCATCAAGCCATCTTCCATCTTTAAATGACTGAAACGATGTCTTGACAATCATCATTCCACTAGGAATGTGATCCAATCTGTAGAGATAATTAAATACCCAAGAAACACATGATACCATTATGCTTGATCAGAATACAACCATCACTGAGAATCACCATCATGTAGTCAGAGATTACAGCCTATCAATGTAAAATGGAATGCATGTGTTAGACATCCTCCTAGTCAACAGCAGTAGAAAACTGACCCAGAAACAGATCAATAATTACAGGGGTTAAAGCAGCTGATAAAATATGCATGACAGCATATGGCTACAGCATCTACAGTAGACTATCAAAATAAAGTGTAACTAAAAATTTTTACAAGCAACATCAAAAATAGAAAAAGAATACACATAGCCCATTACAAAGCTATTTTCTAGGCCTATTACTATCTTCCTATTTATCCTCCTGAAAATGTATTTTAATGTAGCAAATGCTCAATATTTCCAATTTAAGGTAAGGGCTGTATGCATATTCAAAACAAGAATGCTTTGGCTGGCAATTGAACGAAGAGATGTTAAACCTACATATATTTCCACTATGATATAGAGTATATTTTGATGTCAACAAGGTTATGTTTATCTTATATTATATTAATATACTGGAGTTTAAAGTTTGTTTAAAGCTTTATCATTTTAAGCTTTATCATTTTTATTACTTGGACACAAATAATTTCACCGCCTGAATCTGGAACCCACAGACTAACTGGATATCCAGAATGGATACATCTATGAACTGGATGAACTGGATTAACTGGCTAAACAAGATCAAAACAGTCAATAATATTACTGACTGGTTATCCAGGATCAATATGGTCATGAACTGGATTAACTGCTTATCCAGGATCAGTACAGTCATGAACTAGATTAACTGGCTATCCAGAAAAAACAGTCAATACAGCAAGTAACTAGCTATCCAGGATCAACACTATCAGTAACAGGATTAAATGGCTATCCAGGGTCAATACAGTCATGAACAAGATTAACTGGCTATCCGGGATCAATACAGTTATGAACGAGATTAACTGGCTGTCCATGATCAATACAATCAATAATATAACTGACTGGCTATCCAGGATCAATAGAGCCAGGAACTGGATTAACTCATTAACAAGGATTAAAACAGTCAATAATAGGTCTAACTGGCTATCCAGAATGGATACAGACATGAACTGGATTAACTGGTCATCCAAAATTAAAACAGTTAATAATATGACTAACTGGTTATCCAGGATCAATATAGTCATGAACTGGATTACCTACCTATCCAGGATCAGTACAGCCATGAACTGGATTAAGTGCTTATCCAGGATCAGTACAGTCATAAACTAGATTAACTGGCTAACCAGGATGAACACAATCAATGAAGCAAGTAACTGGCAATTCAGGATCAACACCATCAGTAACAAGATTAAAATGTTATCCAGGATCAATAGTCATGAACGAGATTAACTGGCTGTCGAGGATCAATACAATCAATAATATAACTAACTGGCTATCCAGGATATATACAGTCAAAAACCAGATTAATTTATTAATAAGGATTAAAACAGTCAATAATAGGTCTAACTGGCTATCCAGAATGGATACAGCCATAAACTGGATTAACTGGCTATCTAAAATCAAAACAGTTAATAATATGAATAACTAGTTATCCATGATCAATACAGTCATGAACTGGATTACCTTCCTATCCACGATCAACACAGTCATGAACTGCTTATCCAGGATCAGTACAGTCATGAACTAGATTAACTGGCTATCCAGGATGAACACAATCAATAAAGCAAGTAACTGGCTATCCAGGATAAATAGCATCAGTAGCAGGATTAAAGTGCTATCCAGGATCAACACAGTCAATAATATGACTAACTGGCTATCCAGAATCAATACAGTCGTTAACTGGATAGTAACAGTTTATGACTGTATGACTGTATTGACCCTCCAATAAATCTAGTCATCAACGAGATTAATTGACAATCTAGGATCAATACTGTCAATAAAAGGATTCATTTGCTATCTCAGATTAACACAGTCATTAATTGACTATCCAGGATCAGCAACTACTGGCTACCCTGGACAAGCAGCTCATCATGCTGTGAAAAGTTTGCTAGCATTCTAACTAGATAAGCTTTAGGTAGCTCATAAGTTGATCTGTTTGGTATTTGTTATCAAACATATCCTTAAAAAAAAAAATCACACTTTTCTTAGTTTTACTGTTTGCTAAACACAAGCTAACTAGCAAGATAGCCAGTTAGCAATGATACATGGTAAGATAACTGACTAGCTTGTATGAGAGACTAACATTACCTATTCACACTATCTGTCAAATGATGAAATAACTTTAGTAAAATTGTGTACCCATTTGTTTTATCCTAATAGACTTCAGTATAGAAAAAGCTCATAGACAATGTATTTGTGGAGTTACCTGTTGCTCTGCATGAGCAGGAGGCACTGGTAGGAATTTGAAAAACAGCAAAGGCGCAGGCTGATGATGTCAGAAATCGTTGATTGGACGATAGTGGCGTTTATCCAGGAAAAGAAAATAAATGATTGTCCAGGATGAGGCGCCACTTATGAAAATCACAACGTGCCTCTTTACACCCGTGTATATAGTCCTTAGATATAAACAGTCAATAATTACGCGAACAAGAGCGTGGAGAGATGGATTGTTGAGATTTCGTGGTCATGTGATTCCCCAGAGGATTCTGGGAGCTGGAATCCTGAACGGAGTGAAGAGTGTGAGTCTCTGCTACGCCAGTGGGAGGCGTGACAGTTGTGCTTTCAAGCGAACGTTGTAATAGGCTCAGTTTATCAATAGTCGACATAAAATTTAAGCTTTTGCCTTCAAACGCGTTGCCCCTGGAAGTAAGCCGTTTGGTTATGAGAGGAACATTTGAGAGAAGTTTTCCAGTCACTTCCATTCATTTCAGGCTGATTTCAGTCTAAGAATAAAGGCACATCTGAGCCGTTTCATGGCCTGGTCTCTTGCACAGAGACTATACTGTGTGTCATTTTACCAACAGGCTCGACCATCACTTTTTATCTTTCAAATAAATGTTTATCTTCAACAGAACTGCACTGTGACGTCTGAGGCAGAAGCTCCTCAATGATATAAAGTTTGGAGCCGTTTCAGTGTATAATAATAATAATAATAATAATAATAATAATACATGTAATAAACAGTAATTCGGAATGTTAATTTCAGAGGTGTAAGTAACGAATTACATTTACTCTCGTTACTGTAGTTGAGGACAGTTTTCCCTGTAACAGTACTTTTTGGAGTAGAATTAAATCGTAGTACTTTTACTCATATTTGAGTTAATTTTTAATAAAATACTTTTACTTCGCTACTTTAATTTTCATAATGTTACAGAGTAAAAATAAATTATGAGCGTATCAGCTCCGACACCAATACGAACGAAGGGCGGTTAAAATTAAAAGATTCACCAATCAAAAAACAACAGTTCCGTTAGGAAAAACAGTACATAGATGTCCTGTTTAGTGAAGAAGGACAGAGGAGCATTGAACCAGCACACACGAGGAACAGACCGCGTCCAAACGGTCATCTGTATTCATTTTCACACGAACTAAAGAAAACGGCATTATTATCAGCGGCCACACACGCAACCTGCTGAGATCCGCTTTCACAACTCGACTCCAGCCTGAGGCAGCATAGCCGAGCTAGCTGATCCGAGCTAAACAGGTACCGTGTTTACGAGTTTCTTCTGTCTTTTATAATGATTCTGTTTATTACACTGGAAATCTGCTGCGTATATTTTATTACAGTGTCTGTCAGCTACTTTAGTTAACAGGTGTCGCCCACAGGTTACCGTTTACACAGCCTAGTTTAGCGGCTGTTTTGGAGATAAACGGTCGTGAAGACAAGAAATCTAGTCTAATACAGGATCTTTATCAACTCTGAGCAGTGATTCTGTAGCGCTGTCGTTGACAGGCCTGATCTGATCCCTCCCCCCTGCCCACCCTCTCTCGCGCTCTCTCACTCTCTCTCTCTGATTAGTGAAATAAATCAAAGCTGGGTAATTTGCTGGTGTTGCTGCTGATTTAAATAGGTTCACACCTATTAACGTAAGCTAGACTCCAGGGAGCTGATGGGCAGCAGGACCGTCACTAAAATCACATTATTAATTAAGCAATTTACTCATAATTTTGACTCTTTTTTTCTCTTAAATGTAGTCATTGAAACAGTAACATCCTCTGCTCAGTCTTTCAGGGATTCTGAAATACTTCACTGGAAACAGATAAACTAGGACATCTTATATAATCATCTAACCGTGAAATGCATGCAGTTTAATGTAAACCTCATTCCTTACACAGCTCACAGAAAACTGTGTTAATATTCAGTAGCAGAGCGAACTGTGATCAGTCTCAGCTCTCAGAACTTTAGCTTTAGTGTTTTTCTGTACAGATTATTTCCAGTGATGTAGCTGAGTCAGTTCAGAAATATGTTCAGGTTGTGACAGTGGAAATACGAGAAAGTAACTAACTAAGTACTTAAGTAGTTTTTCAGCGAACTACTTATTTACTCTTACTTGAGTAATTTTATTTACTAATACTTTTACTTGTACTTGAGTAAATTGTCACTACAGTAACAGAACTTTTACTTGAGTAGGGATTTTCAGTACTCTTTACACCTCTGGTTAATTTAAACAAAATTCAATGTTTGATGTTTAGTGCACCAAAAACATTTTATCAATAGAGACAATCACAACACATAAATCCATGAAGTGGGTAAAGACATTTATATAACCTTTGTATTTTTCTTGAATCTGTTGTTTTTTTTATCATTTACTTCTTATTTAATATGCATTTATTTATTCAATAGAATATAAAGTTAGTTTGATTTATGCCTTGTTTGTAAACTAATAATAATAATTGCATTTATTTACATTATTTACAACTATTATAGAACTATTATATTCAAGATCTCAAATCATTTATTCATTTATTTATTTATTTATTTATTCTTCCTGTGACAATTACTAGGAAGTAGTAATTAAAACTCTTTATATGATGAAAGAGTACTGCCATGCTGAATGGTTGAGTACTGCCATGCTGAATGTTCCTTGAGCACCTTCACAAATTGTTGCTGGCCAGCTCCTACAAACAGTGTGTAGTCTGACACATTCCCATGTGCCAAGTCTTTAAATGAGGAGGGTCTGAGTCTCACTGTTGTCACCACTGCAGCCGCAGCAGAGAACAGCCAAGTTCTTTTTCTGCCTCCAACCATTGTGGCTCAGCCTGCCGTGCACTGCCGCAGTGAAGCTGTCTACTACCACTACGGGCACGGGCTCCATGGTACCATGGGAGGAACATCTTCCAGAAGGGCTGCCTTCCTAACCTCTTCAATGGCAAAGGGTTTCCAGCTTCATTCCCAATTCCAAAGTAAGACGAAGTGGTTCCTTTTATATGCTCAGAGGATGACACTGCTAAATTTGATAGGGTTTTAAACCCCCCTTTCAGGCCCACCTTAGGTGATTCCTCCTATACGTGCTGCAGGTGTTTTCAACCCTCATATCCCATAAAGCTAACTACGTGAAGTTTATCACTGGTTCACAGCCTTCCTCAGTTAACTCTTGTGTTTGAGTCCTGTATGCCTGTTCTTTAATGGAAACTATCATTTAATGCATTAACCTCCTCGTCATTTAATATTTAGTCAATAAGTAAGCCATGTGATTGAAGCTGTTCTTTGTGTGTGATGTAATTACTTTGTCTGGTGAGATCAATAACTGTGGGGTACCCTTTGACTCAAGTTTGAGACTAAAGTAATCATAAGTTTCCTCTACACATACATTACGACTAAAGTGGATTTCATATGAGATTAGATAATGATTTGAGACCGCTGTGCTCTGGGGAAAAAGGCTAAATGATCCACATTTACACCAGAGATCAAATTGAGTCAAGTGTGGTTGCAATTGAGTTCGGAACCTTTATATTCTGAGTGAACCCACAGAATCTTAGATAGATATACAAATGCCTTCCTTAATAGATCTTGTGATTTGTCAAGGTGAAAAGTAATATCTCCAAAAACTTTATTTGAGAAAGTCAGCAGTTTTTTGTAATGCAGGCCCTGGTGGCCTGTAACTTTTGATTAGTGAAAATGAATTTTTATTGGTAGCTCAATATCTTATATTAAAAAAAAAATCATTGCAAAGTATTGCCCTTTTTTATGGTTTGCATACTAAACAGTTATTCTGTCTTTGTCTGTATCATGCTTTGACCCATTTTTGTAATTTCTCATTTACAGTTTTTGCCTTGCCCTTTTGTCTTGTTAGCCTGGTTTATTGTTTTTCAGTTTTTGACCTTTGCTGACTTTGGATATTTGATCCTGATTCATTCTTCAAACATTAAAGAACTTATTTTTTCGTTCGCCAAGGTTCTGGTTTATCATAGCTGCATTACAACTTCATGATTAATATGATTAATATGATTAATTTTATACAAATGGTTACTATGCCTCCACCTTAGCCAACAAGGGCTGTGTACATAATTATAGCCCAGGGGTGCACAACTTCGGTTCTGCAGGGCTGATGTCCAGCACAGTTTGGAGGTTTTCCTACTCACACCCACTAAACCTGCCAATTAACAGACAAATGTAATCAGGCGTGTTTGATAGGGGTGGGAATCTCTAGGCACCTCACAATTTGTTTCAATAACGATTCAGAGGGCTGCGATGCAATTATAAAATGATTATCGTTGCATCTGGATGCATATTTTTTTCTATACCGGATTTCTTTTTTTCTCACTGTGTGACAACTTGGTACTTTTAAAGCAAAGTATGTGTAATCTGTAAAGTATTTGGAATAGTCCATAATGAATTTACTCCTAAAATCTTGTATTAATAAATCAAACGGAAGCAATGTGCCAAGTCAATTGGAAGGCTCTCATTCACTGCTCTTGTTTGGAGCACATGAGACACTAGCTGCCACTCATCTGTGATAAAATGCACTGTTACAGTGACATAAGATCCTGTGGCAATGGATGTCCACGCATCACGTTACAGCTATCCTACCCGTTTTATTTAGTGATATCATAACTTCGGTTTTGGTCTCGTTGTAGAGAGTGGGGCTCTTTTACTGCCCTGTTGTGGCTCCACATCAGAATTAGATTTCTAGGTAAAAAAAAATAATCCTCCTTTGCAGTAAAATAAAGCTCTGCCAATCGTTCTAACACAGTTTTAAGAAAAAAATAGTCTTAAACGCTGGAATTAATGTAGCCTATACCTGCTAGTTCACCTAGCTGTAGAGACAAATAGACTTATTTCCATTTATAACCACTCCAGCTGGTTTCCTGATACATGTAATCTGCAATGAGAAACTGTCAAACACTTAAAAAACATGAAGCTGAAGTCAGATTCTTGTTTTCTCGTTCCACCTTAAATGTTACAGCAGTTACATTCTGCTGTAACAGGCAACATTTAAGGTGGAACAGGAAAATTCAAACAAAAAGCTGGCAAATGTGAAGCTGACTTCAGCCTCGTAAAAAGTATAACATCGAGAAACATTTTACAAGAAAATGTTCTACTTTTGTGGAAATGTTTCCTGCTGGTGATGCAAGAAAAGCAGCTACAGCTGAGCTAAAGCTTAAAGCAGAGCAAAGTAAGTCTGCATTTTTGTTTGTATTACATTTTTAGCCTACACTAGGACATTAGAACATACTGAGAAATATGTACAGCCAAGATGGTAAA